TGTGTATGATTTCTCCTTCTCCAGAACGCGAACTAGTTCAGACTGGTAAATTTGTGCCTCAGTCGGTTCTCTGTTAGAGTTAATCACAATGTAAATTTAAAGGTTTCGTGATAATATGTCGAAAACTTCATACACTTCATCGGTAACAATTGTTTGAATCCCCTGCGAAAAGGTATATCTACTTTGCGAGTGTAACACAATCACTAAAACGAAGCTTTGGACGTCAAACTAATTTCAGTGACTGCTCTGATCTTAGTTAAATTAGGCAAGTAACATCTTTTTTAGTTCCTTTGTTCGGTGCAAGATTTGTGACACGATTTGTTCTCGAGTTAATGGCATTGACAAAATCTGTCGATGTATGAGTTTGTCCATTTAACCTCGAAGTAGATACATTTTTTTTTTCAAGAAACGAATGATTTCCTCAGCGAATGCGGAAATTTCCTCGATCTCTGTGCTTTATGCTTTTCTTTTTACATAATGCTTCGAAGGACTCTTTAAACTCTGTGCTCTTGTCAACTCATACTTTTTCCGGTTGCGTTGTCGTATCATTAATTTAAATGCTTCTGCTGTTGTAATAGCATAGTTTGATTTCAAGGGTTGCATTCTGAGATAGAGGCACATGCAGTCATTTGCAACAAGCAGATACTTAACATCATGGTTGCACTTGGCAAGTTTATCAACATAGGCCAGTTCTTATAACCAGATTTTGTCGATATCGTAAACTATGACGTTGATGCGCGGCGTTTTCCGGATGAAGTTTCGATATTTGGGTAAAACGCGTTCAGTATGAAGAAAATGTGTAACTTTCTGTCGCGACAAATGGGTTGCTTCTGTCAAGTTGTTAACACTACCAAATAACGCGGGACCTGTCTCACTGTATTTAGTTTTCAACAATTTTTCTTCAATCTTGGTATTTTCCCATCGTTTTGTTTTCGCCTCCGTCTTTTCCGACGAATCTAAATCGTTATTGGGTGTTCCGTACGAATCGGAGCCTTCTTCTGACTGCTATTCACCTTTTGGTTTCGGATTTTTCTATTGTCGCTGAGATTTTTTCTTTTTCAATTTAAACTTCTCCTAAAAATTGCGCTAATTTTTTCCTGCTAAGCGATGTGTGTTGGGCGGGTTCTCGAAGGTCCGGGTTTTTGTTTCTTCTGAGCGTTAAAAGACGCTGATTGAGCCGCGTGTTCGGTATTTTGATTTATTGCCACCTTTCGTTCAAGTTGAAGGAACGCCGGATAGTGTAATTGATTTATTGGTTGTTGTACGTCGTATAAAAACACTGCTGCTTTCAGTTCTGTTGGTATTTTAACCTTATATATTGCCTCAATGTCACGTTTTAGGGTTACTCTTTCTGAATATTTTATAATTTTAAGTATGGTTTTGGTTATAACAAGTTTTTTCTTTTCTAACACCTGTAACTGTTCTAAAATATTTTCCGGCTGTCTATCATTTTTTCTCTTGTGATTTTTCAACTTTATCACTTTCGGCCGGTATTTCTTCTCGTTAGTTAAGAGTTCAAGCTTTTCTAGTTTGGGCTCAGCTTTTTCCGTAACTGTTTCCTACGTTGCAGTAGTCTTACCAGTTTGAGGAGGTACTAGGGAATTAAGCCGGTTAAGGTAGGACAGTTGACCGTTTTTATGTTTAAAATTATGATCATGAAGAACACGTGCACCATGTGCTTGCTCTTTAACATATAAATGTTTCGGAAATAGAATGATTTCTTCAGCAATCAAAATTAAGTGGTGAGGTAATTGTAACGAAAACGAAAATACGTATTTGTCGCACTAGATGGAAGCCTTCTTTGATCAAATTTATTGCACGTTTTTTGACAACAAAGGTTTTTGGAGTGATTAAATATTTGTATGCTGTCTCAATTTGTTCGATATTTACAATTTTATTGGGTATATTTCCATTGACTACGTTGGGCAAACATTCGCAAATAAATATTATGATTTCGCGATTTGAAGTTTTTCTAATTAACTGGTCAGGTTGCAGTCGTACCATATGCCGCAGAAAAGATAAATTTTTCTTTTTCATTCGTGATTGGAATAGTTTTTGCTTTAGCTAGGGGTAAACAAAAACTTTTGGCCCAGGGTGTGTGATATTTGAACGGGGCTCCAAGTCGATTAGAAGATGTCCAAAAGAGTCTTTGGTAGCTAGTTCATAACAGCTTCTCAAAAATTTTGATTCATTTAATTGTTTTCCAAAAAAATCTAGTTGCTAAACACCATAGTTGCAAATTGAGCAAATGTTGTGTGAAGTCTTCAAATCAATCGTACGTGACTTTGTTGAAACAAGTTATGTTTAACTTATATTAGATCTATCGCTCTGTTTACCCGCTGTCGCTAATCTAACGAATTCCTTGTCATTACAGATGTTTTCACAAGAATCACCGAAAAGTAGACGAACAATTTCTAAATTTTTTGCACAATCGAATCCGTTGAGTTACATGAACTTCGCAATAACTTCGCGAAAAGACCCTTTTTCTCAGAACGCGTGTTACATCTCTTTGTAAAGATATAGAACGGTTTCAAATGTAGGGTAAAAAGTTTTTATCATCAAAAGTTTGAAATTTAATTCAGTTTCCACCGATGCTGAGGGTCTCTTTATCGCCATGAAAAATCTTGAGTACGTAACCAACCAAGCCGGATAAAACTGAGAACCAAACTGAAGTTTCTTTGCAATTTAAAGTAGTGAAAAAAAGTTTGAGAATGCAGAAAGGAAGTAAAACTAGAATTACTACCAGTTGCGCAACAAAAACTACCTCAGACCCTGGCAAAGTTTCATTGTTACAAAACTTCCATCATTTTTTTTTCACTGTTTGGCTCGTTATAATTGAACTCTGTTACTATTGTCGTGTCAGGTTCATCTACATCTGCTGTTGTTTCTGAAATTTGAGAAACGACTTTTTCTACCGACTATGATACACTTTTTTTCACTGTACTCGAGGCTTCTCAAAAACAAAAAATTAAATTAGGATTATGAACAGTACAAAACTTCATAATGCGTGAAGTCTCTGTTAATTATGTCATTCGTTTCTGGAACATAGTTTGCAGGGATATTTGCAGTTTTTGTAGTACATTGTTTTCTTCACAGTATCCTCTTTCACGGTAGTCCTAGTCTCATCTGGCTTTTCACTGCTGTTTAGATCCATCTGAAATCCTGGCTGACGTTTAGGTACACTGACTAGTTCGGGAAGATATACTCCTTGCTTGCTGGCTAACATTTCTGATTAACTTGAATCTCTGGAAGTATACAAATAAATTAATCAATAATTGGAAAAAACCTCTTTAGTGTAGACAACTCTTCTTCAGAAATTACTATCTGCTTCTTCCTCTAAACAGATTTGACCGCTGCAATCAGTACGCTCTATTCGTGTTAGTGAGGCATTAATATCACTCTCTGGAGTCATCCACGCACATAGCAATGATTTTGGTGATAGATATGTCTCCACTTAGTAAATCGAAATTCACTGGAGGTAAAAAAAATGAGTCGATCGCTGTAGCCTGAACTTGTTATTGCTAATTGTTTAACAGAAAGGCGTTTTGTTTTGTAATGAAAACTTCCGCGTCAAGCACAGTTGATCTCTCGCTTTGCATTCTAAAAAAAAAAAATTTCTGGTTGTTTCAACTTAATGAAAAGGCAGAAATGTATTCTGCTCAGATATCCAATTAGCTGCTGTTACAGTTTCGGGGCATAAATCTCGAGTATAAAACCGGCCGCATTGTGAAAAACAGCGTGCAATCGATAATTTTAGATCTTTTCAAGTATTTGTCCAAGGAAGAGTTACCAATACTAATCAAGCCACTGTAAGGTCTCAACTTGATTAAAATGTTGTAGTTAGGATAAACAGAACTGACAAAAAAAACAGAAAACTTACAGCTAGAAAATAGTTTTGTCGGTTCGAATCATCAGGATAAATCTGTTTCAGATACGTATTTTTTTCGTGAACTATTTTTAAATAAACAGGAGTTACCCTGCTTTTTTGCAGTTTCATTCTTTTTTTGTCAACACCTCTCCAACCTGTGAATTGCAAGCCAGTGGAAATAAAAGTGACCTTGCAGATACCATTTAGACTAATTAAGGTATCGGTGGTAAATAGTCAAACAAACCACTCAAAGTTTTATTTTTTTATTTTGATAGCTTGTTGAAACATAGACGGATTTTTCGCTCCAAGTTTTTATCCATCCATATTTAGTTAAAATCAAACAAGTCAAAAACGTTTTCATAATCAGCTATTTTATATAGCTCACAACACCATACTTTTATTTTGTAGAAATGAGCCAAGTGATTTGTTGAATCTCACTCAAATAAACTTGTTTTTTGAAAATTTACTCAATTTCTTTCTTTGAATATTCTTTTGCTCTCTCGAGAAAGACGACCTAGCGTTCATAACAGAGTTTGAAAAATGAACTTTTTTCCGTGTTTGAAAACATTTGTAATTGAAAATTTTCAATATCAATTTTTTCAGTACACCAAGCTTCCTCTAATTTAATTTTTCAAAAATTGAAAAATTTGTCATTTGGTTTGTTTTGCCCAGAAATTTCATATTACTGCCTTTTCACCATAAAATAAAGCTCAAGTTAAGGAATTAGTCTATTGCTGCCAACAGTTAAGCTACGCTGCCAAATTTGCCGGCAAGTTTTTTTTATATACCATAAAAGTCAATTCCACTTTCACTAACAAACTTCAACTAGGCCGGAAGTTCCTTTGCCCGAAGTGAATATAATAATTGATATGATTCATTTATATAATTAAGCAGGACCAATAATTAGGACCCCAAAAATTGGAACAAGAAAGAATTTTGTATCGAGTCTCTTGGGGGTCTTCTGGCTTTTGGGCCGAAATACGGACCCCTTCCTAGGATTTTGTTTTTCTTTTCGTGAGAACCCTCCCGCCCCCCTTGGAACCGGGACACGATACATTACTACTTACTACTATGAGTCGTTATTAAAAAAAAGAGATCTACTCTAAATGAGGCCAAACTCTCTCTTTTTTACCATGTGTTCGTCTGGATCGTACGCCTTATCAGGATCCAAAGGTTGTGTGAAGATTAGTTCTTCTTTTGAAACTGCTCCCCATGTTGCTATTCCAATAGCCACCGTTTGATTTCTGTAACAGAAAAAGTCCCAGTTCTCTAATCGTTGACATTGACATTCTTGAGCTTTTAAGTACTAGTTCTGGCTTTTACAAATAGTTAACAATTCAAAGACGACAGCGCTGATTTGAACTATCCGGACAATACTTGACAGAACTATTGTGGAGCATGGCTTTGGATTTATTTGCGCCCGAAGTTTTATCTAACGGATCTTTGTTGGCTAAATTAGTAAACCAAAACTTAAGCCACAACAACACTGTCGACTTTGAATAAACAAAATGAACGTTTCATGTAGCTCAATAAAATTTAAGATGATGTCATCATCAAAAAAGCGCAAAATTTTTCAAAATTTTTTTTTTTTCAAAAAAAACGATTGTTCTATATATAAATAAACATATCTTTTGCTCATCAAATACTTTGATATAGTTTTTTGAACAATTGATTTGGTCGCTTTTTTCAGGCCTTCTGCTATTTTTTAAAAGCGGCTCATTTCCGTTAAAAAACAATGTGAAATAAATTAAAATACATTCGATATTTCCTTACAACTAAACATGAATGTCAAAGTCTCATTAAACTCTATCTAATTTAGCCGGAAAACTTAAAAATACTTCTTCTTTTTTAACACTGAGACAACTATTTGACATTGATTTAATCAGATTCAGACTCAGAAACAAAAACCTAAAAATGAAAATCATAATCTTAACTAATAGGGCTTTGCAATAATACAACACTTAACAAGTTTTCCTCGAGCTCGTCAAATTAGCTGGCAAACCATATCGAAAAGTTGAGACTATCGCTTAGTTCTTTTCCTCTCTTCTAAAAGGTATGTTGAAATCGTAATTAAAATTAATGTCAAAATGCGAACATACTAGTAACCCGGGATGACCAAAAATGCTGGTCATTCACTTTTCATGCAATTCCATGTGTACAGAAAATTGCATGAAAGGTCTAAGATTAGTATTTTTCATATATGGAATTTGTATGACTAGATTTTTTCCATAAACCAAAAATAATGATTTTTTACATTTTAATTTCTCAAAATTTTTTGGTTGTGTTTGTAATCGAATACAAATGACATACATCTTGGTTACTCAAACGAACTAACCAAAGGTTTGGCCGTAACGAACTTCTAAATTTCGGCAATTTTTTCAAAGATGATTATTTCTAAAATTTGAATTTTTAAATTATCAGACATTGATCAAGGCATACAAAAACAGGTCATACAAAGAAAGAAAAGCGTTTTTGAAAAAAGTTATGACGAGAAAAGGAAAAAAATCCACTATTAGTATATCCAGGACTAGGTTATACACACAAAAAATTTAATTTTGCATTCAATTTTTTTTTTCAAAAATGTTTATTTGAGTACGAAAATCAATTTGCAGTTGAAAAAAAACACAAAACAGTTTTTGGGGGCAATTTCAAAAATATTTTGATCAATTTTTGTCGTCGCCATCAAAAAAATGCTAGTCATATTTTATATGACATTTTTCATATATGGAAACTTTATGATTAGCATTTTTTTTGACAAAAAGTTTTTCTTTTTTATTAAGTATTATACACCGAATTTTATGCCAAAACAAGAGAAAAGTTTTTCGAAAATTCGACGACACCATTTTTGCAAAATGTATGAAATTTGTATGATTAGTATTTTTTCATAGGGTTTAGTTTATGGAATTGTATCATTAGCATTTTTGGTCTATGGAGGTCAACCCAGGAAGGAAGAAAATATGATATCAAACCTAGTATTTATGAATAAAAATGATGTTATATCAGCTGAATTGTTGTTGTACCTGCTATCAGAAGCCGTCAATTTGCTCAGAACGTTATCTCTCACAGCCTCACCGCATATTTTCATAATGCCCTTATTCGTCCCACCGCTGATTAGCCAGGCTCCTTTTGTGTCCAGTACTCTTTGAAGACCTTGTCTGAGTTTTTCGTGGTCCTACAAAAGTATGAAACTGTTATCAAAGGAATGGTGTCTCATGCACAGACTTCATTTAATTAGATTTAAAAATTGCAAAAAAATGAAGAAAATTTTTTTAGGAGAGAATTGTATGAATAGTGTTTTCATTTTTTAAGTTTCCAAAATTACTGAATTTCCACAGTTGAGCATAAAACGTTATTCTTCTTGTTATTTGCAAGACTAAATCTTTTCTAAAAAAAGGTTTTTCGAAAATTTTTTTAAGGTTTTTGTAAGCTTTGTCGATAACGTAGTTCATAAACACCAATTTCAAAGAACTGTTATCAGTGTATTTTGTGAGTTTAGACTATTTTAGTTTTCTTGTAGCTGTAAGTAAAAATCTAATTGTTTTTATTTCAATTTGTATGAGCTACTAAACCCGCACTGACGAAAATGGTTTCGAATCGATTTAAACTGGTTTTAAATCGATTTTAAATCGATCCAAATCAATTAGCAATGTACATTATACGAACTTAAATGGATTGAAAATTTGGATTGTTTTAAAATCGATTTAAAACATGGATCGTTTTCGAAAAATTGGATCGACTAAAGTGTCTTAAGAATCGATTTAAATCGATAAGGATGGGTTTTTCGAATCACTAAAATATATCTAAATCTCACTTAAATCCATTTTAAATCGATCTTTTTTGAAAATTTTGGATTGATTTAAGTGTCTTAAAAACCTAATTAAATTAATTTGCGGGGTTTTTGGGACTCACTAAACTCAAGTTTTTGCTATTAAGGCAAAAAAAACATACTATTTAAAGTAAATGATTGAAATATTTTATTCTCGATACTTTCTAAATAAAAACACACGAGCCAGATGTTATAGAACTTAAAAAAATGATGCACATAAATCAGATACTAAGCTCGAAAATATGCAACGAAATCACAGAAAATCCATATAAATCAAATAAGGGGCAAAATCTTATGCAAATAACAAAAAAATGATCAGAATAAAACAAATTATGAACTCAATAATAAGCAATTAAATTATAGAAAATCATGAATGAAAATCAGGTTTTGATTAAAAAATTATGAAACGAATCAAGAAAAGAGTCAATATAGATCCGTTTGTGACCCCAAAAAATGCAAGGAAATCATATAATAATATCATTTTTTTGTTCTTTTATTTGGTATTTTCAAAGCTACAATACGCTATGATTGTAAAATCTAAAATCATGGGCCATGAATAAATGCATTGAAAACTCGAAACTGATGGAACTGATCGAATCCGTTTTAATCCCCTTAAAAATAAAAACAAATTTTGACAGAAAAAAAGGGATATAAATCGAGTTGAGTTTTTAAGTTTTTTTAGCTGGGATTTTAAGATCAGTTTTACTCGATTTTAGTTCAAATCAATCTTTATTTTTTATAAAATTTGGTACTTTTTTGCAGAGTAAAGACGATCTAATTTTAATCAACGTACTTTTTTCATACTATAATCGATCCTAATCCATTTTTATCAGTGCGGGTAGATTAGATTTCATAGCCATTCAAGCGTTAATAATCGATTATATTATGATTTTAGTACCATTCTTACAAAAAATGAGAAAACTTTTTTTAAAATCAAATAATAGTTGATTTTAGTCTTTCTTTTGAAATCAAGTTTTATCTTTTGTAATACAAATTAATCGATTAAAATCGATTATTTTTATCCGCATTTCTAATTTATTTGTTTTGCAGACAAAATCTATGACAATCGATTATAATTGTTTATAGTCACTTTTGTTGGTATAATTTGTCTTCGACCTTGCAAACGAATTGTTTTTGTTTTATGCTTTTCGTAGACGTTGTTTTATGTGGAAAATTTTTCGAATCAATTCAATTTTTTTTTTACAAATTTCTTCTTGATTATAGTTGTTTAGTGATGTACATTTTAAGTTTTTGTTTTCTACATGATTTATACGTGATTTATATAGAAGAGTTATGTCTCACCTACCGCGGGATTCTTTCAACTAATATGAAGAGATCTCTACGAAAGTTTTGTTTCGTGGTAAGATTTTGCGTTTAGATGAGCCAAAGAGTTACAAGACATCTCACTTTGAGAGATTTTTGACAGAAAAAGTATAATTATCTATTATATTTGATTATAATAGATTATAAGACATTATAAGAGATTTTAAGATTTTATTAGAGATTATAAGAGATTAAAGGAGATTATAAGATATTTTCGAAAAAAAATTGTTTTTTTTTTATAATTGGTTTCAATTTATTATAATGTCACGAAAAATTTTATCATTATAGTGGATTATAAATTGTTTAAACATCTGAATTTGGCGCTTCAAAATAATTAAAATTTCGATAGAAGTACAATTATAATTGTAATATGATCGATTATTTTATCTTTTTACTGATTGCGTGTTTGGATGCAACCATCGTGCTTCGAAGTTTTAGGATTTTGCCTAAATGTGATAAAAAGTTGTTGCATATGTCAAACGTAATTGACTGTTCGACATATTTTCTCGCATAAGAAACATTAAAATCAAACAAACAGTAGGTGAGAGTTTCGTGGTTTTCTTCGAGTTATAAACAGCAAACATAATACGGTTTAGTTGTGATATGAACAATTGTGAAAATGTGTTTCAGCAAGCAGTCCCCCAATTATAACTGTGTACTGATCGATTATTTGACTTTTTTCTTTTTGGTGGATTCCCTGCAGGTATTCAGGAAAACATATGAGTTTTTAAAAATAGGATATGATTTGTAATTTTCAATATTGTTTTACTTCCTGCTGCTGATTTTTTTTTGCTTTCATTTGATCTTGCCAGCTTTAGAAAAAAAAACTTGCTTTTCAAATCAAAACGAGCAAAGGATTATATTTTCAATTCCAGGGGTTTACAAATGTATACCCCTCACCTGAAAAAATCTTATGAAAAGCTTTGTTGTCGAATTACTTCAACAAAACTAGTAGTGCCGATCGAGAAAAAAATTTGATTTTTTTCAACAAGTTTTTGAAAAACTGCATTTCGACAACAAATTTTTCAGGTTTTTGCTCAAAAATCTTTCAGAGGTTTCAAACCAGTGGAGCTGAAAACTTACTCCAAAGTTTGGCATATAAAACTATAAAAATTTTAAATTTTTTCCATGTATATTTACTTGTGTAGGGTTGCGATCTCGCGCTATGTCACAGTGAAAACAGATACGGTCAGTGGAAACATATACAAAAAAAATGTCAATTGAACTACTGTTTTGTGTGACTAAATTTTTTGTGATAGCGACACCAAGAACTTTTTTCCGCCCATTGAAAATGTGAAGGAACTTTGTATTCGGGTGATTTTTAGTTTTGTTTTTGCTTTTTAATTTCCAGGTAAAATCAGATACAACAAATAATTGTCGGACTGGGTACTGGGTTGAGTGATATATCACACTAAAGTCTAATCAGTCGTTATTCGAACCACATTAAAAATTTCCAAAACTTTTTACTGTGTCGAGAAAAACCGGCTTGAGTATTTTGAAATTTTGCGTAAATTATGCTTTTTTTCAGACCGTAAAATTTAATTTTAAGCAAGCAAAACTAGTTTTTGGAGTTTTTTAGCTACATTTAAAGTTTTTCTTAGCTTTCTAGTCAATTTCCTATAAAAATGTTTGTCCAATTTGCCAATTTTTTTTCTGACTGTTTATTATGCCTAGATTTTTTTTAAGTCAGATCGATTTATCGCACCAAGCAGAAAAAAACTACACAAATTTGGAAAAAAAAAACTTTTTACACCGCAGTTTTCTAAAAAGTACGGTCGAAACATTCTTTGCTACTTGCACAATAACCGGCTATCCTTGTTAATCTGCATTTTTGAAATAACCTTTTTTTAGCTCCAAAAATTACCTTAAAAATCAAAGTTTCAAATTCAAAAAAATTTTTAATTTGGAAGTTCTTTATTTTCATAATTGTGTTTTTGTAAGACAATTATATTTAGGTAGTTTTCATGCCTCGTACATGAAACACTGTTAAGCCGTTGGTAACATGTGTTGCCAGCGGCTTAAACTGTACATAAACTTGTAACATGTGTTCTTTTACGAAAACAACCCAGAGGTTTGAGAAAAGCTTAGAAGTAAAAAAAGCAAATTTTTGGCATATGGAAAAAAAATTAATTATACACACTCCATAATTGGAAAATCCTTATCGTAGACTTTTCATGCAATTTTCTGTATTTGTGGATGTGCATAATTTTATATGGTTGTCGATTTTTTCGTAAAATTAGCCATTTTGGTCAATCCGGGTAAATATAGCGTCACTCTCACAATTCAACTTGCATTTTTTGATATATTTGAGAAAAAAATTCAGCAAGCTGTCGTTACGAATACTCTTATGTTTGTGATACTCTTCTTCTTCTAATTTTCTACAGATAAGTGTACTCACTTTTTTCTTCATTTTGAAATCTGACGCTCCTCCAGTCACTGAGATAATCAAGGAGGGTTTTGACAGATTCCAAGCTGAGTTTTGAATCTGCTCGACTAGATCACTGATATCCTCATCTCCCTTTGCGTTTGCATTTACTCGCATGAATGGCGGCCCTCCTTCATTTTGCTCTCCGTTTGTGAACCGCACAATTCCAGTTCCCAGGACTGCATTTGTGTTCTGGCTGGAGCTTGAAATCTCGGGTCCGGCTTCGTTTTGCTCATCTCCAAAAACTTTATCCTGTTTTTCACTGTTTTCATTATTTTCATTTGTCGGAACTTCTGTGTTTTCCATTTTTTTACTGTGATTCTTGCCGACAAAGAAGTTTTTTATTCAGTTTTATGTCTGAGTTCTAAGAAAACATTCGACAGAAGATAAAACGCACGCAAATTGGTTAGCGAAGTGATTAGCTCGATAAGACATATTTGATAATTTGTATGAACTGTCAGGTAAAACGGTTTTTTTTAACGTGCTCTTATAATTAAAAATGCACGTTTTATCTCTGAGTATATATGAGAAATGCTGGTTTGATGGGTGTGTTTCTGTTTTGAGCTTCTGATCAATTCTTTCTAGAAACGCTCAAGACAATTCAACTTTTGATTCAACAAGACTTATGGTTTAAATTGAAAATTCTGCCAATTGTCGAATACATTAAAATATTTTTTCAAACTGATTTAATTGCGGCTCAAACCACTTGGTACTAGCTTCGTTAAGACAGTCAATTATACAAAGCAATTTCTAAAAATAGTGAGGAAAATATATTTAAAAATGATCGAGCTAGCAGTTGAACAATTAAGTCTAAATGAGAATCTTTGAAACCAGTTCTAAGGAACATAGGTTTTCTAATCTTGAATCTAAAAATTTAACTGAGCTTAATCCAAAACAATAATAGCAATCTGAACAGGAAAAAATCAAAACAAAAATAAATTGGCCAAAAAGATATATTTCAAAAACTGGGAAAGTCTTTTTTGCTTCAGGTTTGAGAATATACAGAGCTGAGAGAACATAGTGCTGATTTAATTTATCCGGAAAAAATAACAAATTTTTAAATTTCAATTGCTTTTTTGAGGAGGCTGTAAGAATGCACAGTACTGATTTCACATAACTAGGCAAACCTGTGCGCTGAATAGGCGCACGATTTGGTGTTTGCAAGTCTCTGAAATCCAAAAAGTTAAATTTTTGGCGGAACAATCAAAGAAAACCAAAGAACAAAAGCAGCACATAGTGAGCATCCTTGTTTCGGAATCCACTTTCAATTCACAAAATACCCAGTTTGGCTTCGTAATGAAATTATCCGGACAAAACGATCAAATTTAGAATTTCATACAATTTTTTTCCCAAAATGGGTTAAAATTAAGCAAAAAATGATGAGAAAAAAATGGATTACAGTTTCATCAGAATTTTACTGGTGCATTTTCCCCAAAACTTTCAGCCAAAAATTTACCACAAAAAAGTGTCAGTTTGGCCCTTTTTAATTAAATAGGTTTTGCGCTGAAATTACCAAGATAATTTAGGAGTAATTTATATATAAAAAAAAACTTTTACGCAACCCAACAAAATTCGAGAAAAATAACTTCAGAAAGAGGCAGAAAAACTAATTAATAATTAATTGCATAAAATGTTTAAAAGAATGACTTGAAAAATGTGTAATTTTGGTTGCTCAGATGGCTTGGTACTCAGCAAATTTTGACCGACTTCGGTCCACATCAAACAGATGGTTACTAGCAACCGAATTTCATGCGGCAGACGGAGAATGTTTGAGCTTTCCTTTCTTGACTTTTTGTCTCCCCTTAACGCAATGTGAGAAAATTCGTTATAAAATTCGGAAGTTGACAGTTGTATCTCATTGCTATTTTACAGCACTACACAAATTTGAATCATTTTTTATCATGGACGTGAAACAGGGGAAATACCCAGGAAAATGTCGATATTTTTTAAAAAATTTCTTTCGAAACTTGATTTGCTTAGGATTCAAAATTTGCTTTTTGATATCTTTGTTTACGATAAAAACATTCATGTGAAAATTGAAAATGATTTTTTCCGAGAGATTACACTTTTTTTCAGATTGAAGACAAATTTCAACTTCTTCACCACCCAAAGTCACCACAATTGGATGCTATTTCGAGACATGTATTACTGGTCCAGCAGCCAAAATCACAAAATTCGTTTTGGATTCTTATGAATACTAATTTTGATTTTATGTTTCACGTAACTGTTCGATGAACGTTTTTAATTTTGCTTCCGGAGCATAAGTGTTGATTAAGTGTAGTTAAATTAGGTGTTTTTAGCTTTCAGTAGAGCTTAAATTTACATGCAGTCGAATTATAAACAAAAGGGTCGAAAATATGTTCGGTTTGGCTGTTGAAAGTTCAAGTCAAATTGAGTCTGAACATATAAGCCCATTTCTAAAAAACAGAGTTTTCAAATCTGGGTCAAAATATTCAACTGATTTTTATCAAAAGCAAAAAAAGTCAATGTTAAGGAAAAAATCGAAACAGGATGGAGTTGGCCAAGAAAACTTATTTCAAAAAATGACAGATTGCTGAAATTTTCACTTGAGCAGTGAGAATATACAAAGCTGAGAGAACATAAAAGCTTATTTTTTTATCAGGAAAAAAAACAAAAAAAATTGAAGCTTCAAACGCACTTTTGAGGAGGCTGTAAAAATATACAGTGCTGATTAAAAAATACGAGTTGAAACTGTGCACTGGATATGCTCACAATTTGGTGTTTGCATGTCTCTGGAATCCAAGAGGTTAAAACTTTTGGCGAACAATCAAAGAAAAGGAAAGAAAAAAAGAAGAATAAAGGGAGGTTCATCGTATCGGAATCCCTTTTCAATTCACAAATACCCAGTTTGGCCTCGTAGTGAAATTATCCAGACAAAATGAACAAAACTTGAATTTGCATGTAAGTTCTTCTCAAACTCGGTTAAGATTAGGCAAATAGTGAAGAGAACAAAAGTGAATTAACTTTTCAGCTGAATTTTTGAGCTTGAAATCTCGTGTCCGGCTTTGTTTTGCTCATCTACAAAAATTTTATCCTGTTTTTCATTGTTTTCAAGATTTTCATTTGTTCACAGGAGTATGTCATTTTGGTACTTTTTCATTAATAAAAAAAAAACGCTGGAAATATCAAGTTATATTTTAGAAAAAGCCCCCTAAATAACTCAACAAAATTTTAGAAACACAACTTTAGAACGAGACTTAAAAAATTTACAATAACTAACTGCATTAGTTTTTCAAAAGAAAAACTTGAGCAATGTGTCAATTTTGTTTGTTCGGATGGCTTGGTAAACGGCAACTTATTGGACCGAATTCAATCCTCATCAAATAGATGGTTACTAGCAACCTTAGTTTATGCGGCAGATGGTTTTCGAGTTGAGAAACTTTGGCTAAGAACTTCGAAGAAAAAATATTGTTTCTTGTGAAATACTAAATGCTTTTTATTTTTCTTGATTTTTTGTCTCCTCTTAGCTCATTGTGAGAAAATTTCTTTCAGTTTTTCGAATTTTGATCGTTGTGTCTGAATAATGCATATCAGAACTGTGCAAGTTTGACGCATCTTTTATCATGGGCGTAAAATAGAGGAAATTAGTAACTAATAATTATTTTATTATTTACAAAGATAAAAAAAAGCAAAGCTTATGTTTTTCAAGTTTTTGTGCTAAAATTATTACACCAAACCAGTAGTAATCCCGGTTTGCTCGCCATAGAAGATAATGCACAACCCTACACATCAATGGATGATTTGCGTGAAAAATGACTGATCATGCGAAGCACATATGTTTGTTTCGAAAACCCGTAAAAAATAGTTTTTTAACATAATAAAATCATCGTTATAAAACGGTTTCTCATCATTATGCAAGCTGTTGGTAAGATACGAAAAAAAATCACCATGCAGGTCATACTTCGCAGCATGTATGTGCTATTAATGGAAACAATGTTTCCATGCAAAAACAAATTAAATAGAGCATGCAAAATAACAACCAACGCCTAACGTTTTTTGAATTCCAGGGTTGATTTGCATTTTCAGTTTTAGACAAGTAAGCTTAAGTTTCCTTGCGTGAATTACTCCTTTCTTGTCACCTGTCTAGATTTTGTGATTACTAGCTTGCATTGCTACGATTTCGTTGTATCGCAAGTGATGTCGATCTCCGCTTCGGTTCTGTGTTGAATTGTTTTGCTGATGATCCTTATGTTGGTTTTTTTTGATAGTCTTTCATATTTCTGAAATGCTTGTTTTGTTTTGGACAACTTTTTGAAACAGTTATTCAGCCATCTCCGACGTGGTGTGTTTTCCGACGTCTACGGGTAATTTTTTTTGCTTCATCGGGTAAATTTTTCTACATCGGATAAAAAATATAAAATAGTTTTGCTTGCTAAACAATTTTTATCTCTGAACGACAGAAAGTATATTTTGACTACCAACGTCCTTGAGGTCGTTCAGAGCACTTTTTGGAAGCCCACGAGAATAATGATTTTATTTGATTATTTAGTTTCTATATGTCGCGCCAAGAATGACTCTTTGGTAACCATACCTTGCGTCATATATGTTTCATGGTAAGCATGCGTTGCGTCTCACATTTTTTATTGTATCCATATGTCGCGCCATGCATGATACCATAATCTCGCCATGCAAGCATCCATGGTGACATATCATTTCTCAACTGTCCTGGTAAGAGAAAAAAAACTGTCTAACTTGAGACCCCCATAATAAAAAAAAATGAGCAACCAGCATCGAAAATGTGTTGAGAGTGAGGGCAAAGAGCAATAAAGAAAATTTTGTAATAAAAATTTTTCATTCACTTTAATTAGTATTTTTGTATCATTCACCTCAATTAGTCTTGACCATAGAAATTTGTTTATAACGACTAATAATTCATGATTAAGAAGTATGAAGTGGTGAAAACTCATATTTATCAAAATATCAAAATACTATAGAGCTAATTCAGTGAGGGTTTCGTATAATTATGTCAATCATTTTTAAAAACTAAAAAAAAAGTTAATTGCATCTTTGAAAAAAAATTCATTTGTTTCATTTTATCTATTGATTAAAAAAACGCTTAACTCAACAAAAAAAAGTGTTTTCATGTTTTAATTATTTAAAAAAAAACACGGATTAGATGGAATTTTTGTGGTCCTTAAATTGACGACTATATAGACGTTATAAGTTTTTCGCTCGGTTTAAATTGCCGATAACTAATAAACGTTAACAGAAGTTGAAACAGTTGTCGATATTTACAGAATTTTTAGCCCGAGTTGGACCTGAGAAGGCGCTGATAATTTGGTTCCCCGATCCGCTCGAAGTCTGAATGAATTCAGTTCGTCCAATATCGTCGCCAACCAAAACAAACTGCAGTTGTAAGGTTAACACAGAAACTGCCCGTATCTGCGACAAAACATGAGAGAAGAGAAGAAACGGAACAGTAAAATCATCGTAAAAGTCACCAGTTCGCAA